TGAAGCATTTTCCTTTCCCAGAATTATTTCTTTTCTACTTCGCATTTTAAACTTCTTTGTCTTTATTATTGTCTAAGTTGTCTTTAAGTTTTTTCAGTGGTGATAGGATTCAAAAGTGATTGCATCAATGGTATACAATATGACTATAATTTGAGGAAAAATGTATACTTAAGTAAATAAGGAAACAAAAATTAGAATCTTTGTTTTAACCTGCTTTTGAATTTTTCAAAATATTTGTCAAATTTACAAAGTAAAATTATACTTCATTATTAATGACAAGCAATGTTATTCATTCAAAATTATATAAATAAATTGAACTATGCAATAACCTTCCCCCCAAAAAGAAGTTGGGAGCATAGGGGTGTGGACAGGGATGGGGGTGGGGTAGGGGGAAGGGGAGAGGGGGAGAGAGAAGGGAGAAAGGAAAGACTGGAGAGAGCTTGGGGGAGTGGTAGGGTGGAGATGGAGGAAGGGCGGATATAGGAGCAGGGAAGAAGATATCTACATTAAGGGAACCATTTTAGGGTTGACACGAGCCTTTGCTCTAGAGGGGATACCAGGTGTCCACGGGAAGGTCCCCAGCTAGGTCCTTGGGCAGAAAGAGGAGAGGGTGTCCGAACTGGCCTTGCCCCAATATTACACTGATGATTATCTCGAATATCACTATAGAATCTTTGTCTGGGGACGGATGGAGATAGAGACAGAGACCCTCATCAGAGCAATAGACTGAGCTCCCAAGGTCCAGTTGAAGAGCAGAAGGAGGGAGAAGATGAGCAAGGAAGTCTGGAGCGTGAGGGGTTGGTCTACCCACTGAGACAGTGTGCCTGTTCTAATGGGAGCTCACAAAATTCAGCTGGACCAGGACTGAATGAGCTTGTGATCAAACCAGACTCTCTGAATGTGGCTGTCAATGGGGACTGACTGAGAAGCCATTGATAAAGGCACTGGGACTTATTTCTACTGCATGTACTGGCTTTTTGGTACCATAGTCAATTTGGATGCAAAGCTTCCTATGCCTGGATATAGGGAGGAGGACCTTGGACTTCCCACAGGGCAGGTTTCCCTGCCCTCTCTTAAGGATGGAGGGGGAGGCAAGAGGGGGAGTGGGGGAGTTAGAGGGGAATGGGAGGACCTGTGCAAGTGTAAATTTTTGAATGGAAAAAAAATAAATATATAAATTTAAAAAAAAAGAATTTGAATACAGCGGCCTAACCTTAGTTTTGTTTTTACTTCCTGTGATTTCATTTATTTAATGTCCAAAGGTACGTTTAAAATTCTAGAAAGTAAACTCATATTTTATTTTAGTGTCCACAGACTCATTTAATATGGGGACTGGAAGTGATTTCACTTGTTTAAGTAGTGAATGAATGTAATTCAATGAATAATCATTTATTTAAGATCACACAAATAGTTAGAGACAAAACCCTTAAATTCCCGGTCTTGATTAATTTAAAATAACCACTTAACAATCTTGATTTTGTAAAGTTAATTCAAGTTCCCTAGATGCTATTGATGTTTTCATTAGAGAGGTAAAATACTTCTATTATATATTCATAACTCATAACCTAGAATAATTGGATGGCAAATACCACATAGTCTAGCTTAATTACATTACAAAGACATGGCAAAAGATGTTCTCAAAACATGCCCAGCTTCTCATGATTATCAAGTAATAGTGTATGTGTTAACTGGTTCCGAGATGACCAGTAGTGTCACAGTGTGGGCCATATGGCAGAGCTGGCACCAAGCTGCTGTGAAGCAGGGTCCCCAAACTTATCCAACACTACGAAAGCAGTGCTAACAGAAAAGTTCATAGCACTAAATGCCTACGTAAATAACTTGGATAGTCTCTCTCTGCCTTTTGGTTAGTTTGGATAAGGGTTTGCCTATCTTGTTGATTTTCTCATAGAACCGTCTCTGTTTCATTGATTCTTTCTATTGTTTTGTTTTTATGTTATTGATTTCAGCCTACAATTTGATTATTTCCTGTCATCGACTCCTCCTGTGTGAGTCTACTTCTTTTTATTCTAGAGCTTTCAGGTGCGCTGTTAAGTTGCTAGTGTGAGATTTCTTCACATAGCACTTACGCTATGCACTTTCCTCTTAGCACTACTTCAAAGTGTCCCATGAGTTTGGATACATTGTACATTCATTTTCATTGAATTCTAGGAATTCTTTGATTTCTTTATTTCTTACTTGACCCAGTGGCAATTCAAAGTTGAGAACTGTTCAATTTCTATGCATTTGTGGGCTTTCTGCAATTAGTCTTATTGTTCAATTCTAACTTTAAATTATGGTGGTTGATAAGATACAGAAAGTTATTCCAATTTTTTTCTGTATCTGTTTTGATTTGCTTTGTGACTGAGTATGTGGTTGGTTTTTAGAGAATGTTGCATCAGGTGCTAAGAGGGTATATGCTTTTATGTTTGGGTGGAATGTTCTATTGATGTCTGTTAAATCCATTTGAGTCATAACATCAGTTAGTTCCCTTCTTTCTCTGCTAAGATTCTTTCTGGCAGACGTGTTGATTGAAGAGAGTGTTTTGTTGAAGTCTCCTACTGTTAGTGTGTGGGGTTTGATGTGAAATTTAAGCTTTAGTAAAATGATTCTTTTACAAATGTGAGTGTTCTTGTATTTGGGGCAGAGATGTTCAGAATTGAGACTTCATTTTGATGGATTTGTCTTGTGGTGACTATGAACTGTCTTTCTCCATCTCTTATGATTATTTTTATCTTTAAGTCTATTTTGTTAGATATTAGGATAAGTAACCCAGTTTATTTCTTAGGTCCATTTGATTGAAAACTGTTTGCCCAACTTTTTACTCTGAGGTAATGTCTTTCTTTGAGACTGAGGTGTGTTTCTTGTATGCAGAAGGATGGAGCTTGTTTTTGTATCCATTCTGTTAGCCTATGTCTTTTTATAGGTGAAGTGAGTCCATTGATATAAAGAGATATTAATGACCAGTGATTATTAATTTCTGTTATTTTTGGTTTTGGTGGTGGTGGTAGTGTTTATGTGTTTCCATTCTTTAGGATTTACTGGTATGAGGTTACCTGTTGCTTGTTTTGCTGTGGTTGCAGTTAACTTCCTTGGGTTGGAGTTTTGCTTTTAGTACTTTCTAGAAAGTTGGATTTGTGGAGGGGTATTGATTAAATCTGGTTTTGTCATGGAATATCTTTCTTTCTCCATCTATGGTGATTTAAAGCTTTGTTGGGTATACTAGTCTGACATCCATGGTCTCTTAGTGTCTGCAGTACATCTGTCCAAGACCTTCTTGTCTTTCAGAGTTTCCATTGAGAAGTCAGACACAGTTCTGATAGGTCTGCCTTTACGTGTTACTCTGCCTTTTCCTTTGCAACTCTTAATATCCTTTCTTTACTCTGTATGTTTTGTATTTTGATTATTATATGGCAATGGTACTTTCTTTTGGTTCAGTCTATTTAGTGTTCTGTTAGATTCTTGTACCTTCAAAGGTTTATTCTTTTTAGAATGGGAAAATTTTCTCCTGAGAGCTCTGAGAGTCCAGTCAAAGTGAGTAAGGAATTAATATATGAGCATGAGTTAATCAAGAGTATGTCAATGAAACCCACAGAGACAGCTGACCCAAACTCATGGGTGCTCACTGACTCTACAGTGACAGCTGGGGAACCTGTATGAAGCTGAACTAGGCTCTCTGCACTTACTCTGGAGCTGCCAGTATGGAAACCTACTACATATTACCTTAACAACAAGACTTTACTCAAAATTTTGGTACAAATCTTCATGTGTCCCTAACTCTTGCTGTCTGTTGTGTAGCCTGGACTGCACAACATTTTTGTTGTCATTTGTGGCACCCCTGGCAGTGGGACCAGTGAGCTGGCTTTTAGGAGCCTATTCCATAAGGTGGAATTCCTTGCTCAGCCTCCATGGTGTGGGGAAGGTCTTAGTCCCGCCCCAAAAGAATTTGCCTGGCTTTGTTGACTCCCCATGGGAGGTCTTATCCTTTCTGAGGAGTAGATCAGGGTGGTTTACATGGAATAAGGAGAGAGAGGGAAGGAGGGAGGGGGAACTGTGGTTGGTATTAAAGTGAATATTTTTTAAAAATAAAGTCAAAGCTAACTAGGACAGCAAGAGTTATGGACACATGAAGATTTGTATGAAGATTTTGAGAAAAGGCTGGTTGTTAAGTAATTTATAATAGGTTTCCATATTGTCAGCTCCAGAGTAGTCTATGCATGAGGGTGAGATTAAAGTTGCCATGGACTTGCTAGGATGTTGGAGATGTCAGCAATGCCAGATATGTGTAAGGAGACCTGCAGTCAACAAGTGGAGGAAGCCTGGGAGAAAGACCAGGTGGACTGCAGAAGGCAAGACTGAGGAGCGTCTGTCTAGAACCTTTTCATGGAATGACAGTCTCCAGTTGGTGGACCAGGAGATACATGACTTGGTTTTTTTTTTCCCACTGGAATTAGGTCTTGTTTTTTTCAAGCTTTTCTTTTCTATTACTGAAAATTCCCTTTTAGAATCCTGTTCTTTAGTCTATGACATTTTATAGTATAAAGACACAACAACCATTTTGATTTTGCAAAGGATCAAAATCTTGAGATTCAGAAGAGAATTGGGCCTGAGAATTGGGCCTTTGGACTTTTGCACTCTGGTGTAATTGTTAATCATTACTACAAGTTGACTAAATGAAGTTTACATTATGAGATATCCAAGAGCCTTATGTATGGAAGGTTTCGGATTATTTGTGAACTGTCTTCCACAGAAGCATGCAGTAAGTGCTTGTTCCCCAACTGGTAGGGCCAGTTTTGAAAAACTGTGAGGTCTATAAAAGATGAGGCATGACCTATACAGTAGATCATTAGAGCCTTTGACTATTGTTCCCAAACTGTGGTTTCAGAACTAATCAAGTTCTGTATGACTGCATTAGTAACTAGAGGAACTAAAGGGAATTACAGAACTAAGTAGACTCAACTTTGAATGGATAACTTAATTATCTTTATTTGATAACTCCACACAATCAAAATGATGTCTTTTTAGAAGGGGTGTATTACAAACCAAATAAATATATACAGATAAACAATATTCACATCAAGGGAAGGAAGATAAATATAAAATAAACACTGAAAATAACTAAAATATAACATAAAAATAAAACAAACACATGGAAATAAACACAAGATAATAATAGTATAATATATGACAATATAATAAAACACAAAATAAACATGGTTTTCTTGAACAAATTAATGGAGAAGGAATAGAATTCCTCTGCAGCTGTCCTCTTGGGATGATCAAAGAAATTGTGAGATGTGGTGGAAAGTTTGCTCTAGTTCTGGAATGAGAATAATCCATTTTAAAATCACAGTGCTCTGTTACGTTTTATAAAACTGTATAGACTATGGTGTAAGAGCTAGGTAGAGTAGTCATAAAATTCAGTTACATAATAAATGCAGATGTTTTTGTATTATCTATCTTTCATCTATCATGAATATTCTGCTTATTAATTATGTATCTTCTTGGAGCTCATGACAGGCCTATATGTACCATGACAACATTTAAGAACCTTAATAATAATACCAAACTCTAATGCTAAATTTGCTCTAAGCATATATTCTGAAGCCTAATCATGTGATAAGGCAAGCCTTAAACTCTAAATTAAAACCTATCTCTAGTTCTTGATAACAGTGAGGAAAGCATGAGGGAGTTTAGGGATTACCTTCTCCTTATGAATGAAAGCTTTGTACTAGAAACTATTAGTGTCTCATTAAATTTACAACACATTTCTACTCCTTTTCAGCAGGGGAAGAGCTATGTTTTTTGATGCAACATGCATAAAATCATGCTCTGATAGCATCAGTCTGAAAGAGATTGTGCAAAAACAAGGAGTGTATACACTGAAAATTCAAAAAAAAAATATTATGAAAAATTTGAAACATTCCATCCAAATGAAAAGTAAAACATAGATTATTGTATACTTTAAGAATATTCTCAATGTTAGAATAAATAACAATATTATTAGAATTAAGTATTTAAGGTTCCAGAGCCCAGTCCATTAGACTCTTTCACTAAGTGAGGGACATTAGCTTCTCAGCTTAGGCCAACCTCTGCTGTCTCCAAAACTCTAGAACCACAAGAAACATCCTGAGTTCTGCTTGTGGCCACCACAAGAAATATCCCGAGTTCTGCTTGTGGCCACATAAGAGTTATGTGAACTTTGTCTTGGGCCTGGCCTGGATGGTCTTCTACAGCGACATAATGCCCAGTAATTTTCCTCCAGGATCCCAGGTAGCATGACCTCCTGCAGTGAGTGAGGGACCCTGATGTATAGAGATGAGCCCCACCAATGACACTTGGCAATCTCCAGAACCAGGTGAGAGGTTCCCATTCCCCTGCTTGGACCTGTTTATACTGCATGGGTTATTCCTCCAGGTGGTGAGGCTTCATCTACCAGGCAACACTCTAATGACACAGGAACCCTGCTCCAGGCATTAGGCAGATTCTGACACTCAGAAGAAGGAAAGAGAGAGTTTCTGGGGAATGAAGATCAGTGACAAGGAAAATATCACATCACAGCCATGACAAGATGGAGTCCCTTCTGATGATCATTTTAATGTCTGCATGGGAACTGAAATGTGACCTGAAAAAAGAAAAAGAGGAAGGAAAATCTAACAAATTAAAATATTTTCTCCAAAAATTACTGCTCACATAGTAGAGACCTGCAAAGACAATGACATGAATGAAATTCAGGACAAAGAATTCAAAAGGATGATTGTACCTGTATTCAAGCAAATCTAACAAAGATAATCAAAATCAGTACTGAAACTAATCAAATGGAAATTTAAAATTTTTCAAAAAGTTAATGAAATAAAAAATTGATCCTTTGAAAAGATAAATACGATTGAAAAAATCGTTATCCAAATGAGAGAGAAGAAACAAATTAGTAAGATAAGAAATGAAAAAGTAGGCATTAAACCAATTACAACGAATTTCAGAAATCGCACATTCTTTTTAAAAAAATTTCCTTTCCATGTAATTGTAAAATGTAGAAAAAATGGATGAATTTCTAGATTCATACTATATAAAAAATTAATTCAAGATGAGATTATTTAAGTATGTCTATAAGTACTATCAAGATTGAAGAAGTAAAAAAATGTTTTTCAAGTAAAAAATGGACATGACCAGATGAATTAGTTGCAGAGTTATACAGAAACTCAAAAATGAATTAATACCATTGTTGCTCAGATAATTTCATGAAATAGAAAATAAAAGAACATTTTCTAAATTCTTTTTAGGAAGTCAATGTTATCTTGATAACCAAACTAGATAAAGGCACCGCACACACACACACACACACACACACACACACACACACACACAGAGAGAGAGAGAGAGAGAGAGAGAGAGAGAGAAATTTCCACAGTTAACATAGATGCAAAACTTATAAATGAGACCCGCCCGCCATCCCAGCTTCCATCCAGATACAAATTTCTATATTTCTCCCTTCCCCCTGGGGCCATAAAATTTCCCCAGCTCAGCTGCCTTGGGAGCTGGGCCTGGGCTGTAGGTGCATCCCAGCAGGAGGTAGCTCCTGGGTCTTAAAGGCCTCCCTGAGGACAGGTGGACCTGGTGTCAGCTCAGCGACATTCCTGATCAGAAAGGGGCCCTGACTTCTAGCAGAGGGCCATAGGAGGGGTGAGTTTGCTTCGGGCCCGCTGCAGGGGCCCAATGATGAGGAGTTCAGGCTTTCCGGACCCCATAGAATCCCAGGTCACCCTGCAGTGCTGGCTCCCCCCTGCTAAGCTCTCCCGCCTGCCATCCCAGCTTCCATCCAGGTACAAATTCCTATATTTCTCCCTCCCCCTGAGGCCATAAAATTTCCCCAGCACAGCTGGCTTGCACGCTGGGCCTGGGCTGTAGGCGCATCCCGGAAAAAGGGAGTGCCTGTGCTTCAGTAGCCTGCCTGAGAAAAGGTGGCCATTCTGTCAGTGAAGTCCCTGCCAAACAAGGGAACCTGTCCCAGTACCAGAAGTTTCAATAGAGAGAATTTGTAGGAAGAGATGGGCAGATGCCAAGGCAAGACCTCGTCCAACAATCTGAAAAACAACATGAAAACACCAGATCCCAGCGACCCTACAATAGAAGGACTTGAACACCTTAACCCAGAAGAAGTGCAAAAAAGTGCCATTGTGAAAGGAATAGAGTCCCTTAAACAGGATATGAATAACTCCCTTAAAGAATTGGATGAGAAGTATAACAAAAAGTTTGAAGAAATGAGTATAGAAATGGATGAGAAATACAACAAAAAGTTTGAAGAAATAAGTAAATCCGTGAATGATACCCTGAGAAACCAAGAAAAAGCAAGCAAACAGGTAAAGGAAACAGTTCAAGAATTGAAAACTGAAGAGTTTCTGGTCGCCCTGCAGTGGTGGCTCCACCCTGCGGAGCTCTCCCGAATCCCATCCCAGCCTTCATCCAGGTACACCTTCCTATCTTTTCCCCTACCCCCTGGGGCCACAAGATCTCCCCAGAGCCGCTCCCTTGCACGCTGAGCCTGGGCTGTGGGCTCAGCTGGGCAGGGGCAGTTCCTGTGCTTTGAGAGCCTCCCTGAGGACAGGCAGGCCCTGAATCAGCTCAGCCACATTCCTGGCCAGCAAGAGACAGTGAACTTCTACCAGATATCCATTGGAGGAGGGTGAGTTTGCTCCGGGCCCAAGGGCTTCGGCTAGGAGGAAATCATACTTTCCCTGCCCCCCTCGACTTTCTGGTCGTCCTGCAATGGTGGCTCCACTCTGCGGAGCTCTCCCGAATCCCATCCCAGCCTTCATCCAGGTACACCTTCCTCTATTCCCCTCTTCCCCCTGGGGCCACAAGATCTCCCCAGAGCAGCTCCCTTGCGTGCTGGCCTGGGGCTGTGGGCTCAGTCAGGCAGGGGCAGTTCCTGTGCTTTGAGAGCCTGCCTGAGGAAAGGTAGGCCTTCTGTCAGTGAAGTCCCTGCTCAAAAGGGAACCTGACCTGGTACCAGAAGATGCAATATAGAGCAGTTTAAGGGAGAAATGGGCAGACACCAAGGCAAGAACTCCTCCAACAATCTAAAAAACAACAAGAAACCATCAGATCCCAACGACCAACAATAGAAGGACTTGAACCTCTTAATTCAGAAGAAGTGGAAAAAAGTGCCATTATGAAAGCAATAGAGTCCCTTGAGCAGGATATGAATAATTCCCTTAAAGAACTGGATGAGAAGTACAACAAAAAGATTGAAGAAATGAGTAAAGAAATGGATGAGAAGTATAACAAAAAGTTCGAAGAAATGAGTAAATCCATGAATGATACACTGGGAAACCAAGAAAAAACAATCAAAGAGGTAATGGAAACAGTTAAAAAATTGAAAACTGAAATGGAGGCAATGAAGAAAACACAAAACGAGAGCCGGCTGGATATGGAAAAATCTAGGTAAACGAACAGAGACTACAGAATCAAGCATAACCAATAGAATACAAGAGATGGAAAAATGAATCTCAGAGTCTGAAGATACCATAGAGAAAATAAATGCTCTGATCAAAGAAAACATCAAATCCAACAAATTCTCATCACAAAACATTCAAGAGATCTGGGACACAATTAAAAAAACAAATCTAGGAATAATAGGGATTGAAGAAGGAGAAGAATTGCAGAACAAAGGCCCAGGATATATATTCAACAAAATTATAGAAGAAAACTTTTCCAACCTAAACAATGATATTCCTATGAAGGTTCCAGAAGCATACAGAATACCAAATAGACTTGATCAAAAAAAAATCCCCTTGTACTGCAGAAAATAAGAGACCATAAATGCAAACCCAGACTACTATACCCAGCCAAGCTATCATTCACTATCAATGGAGAAAACAAAATATTCCAGGATAAGAACAAATTTAAACAATTTGTAGCCACAAACCCTGCCTTACAGAAAGTAATAGAAGGAAAATCACAACCCAAGGAATCCAACATTGCCAACACTGCCTACAATAACTCAGACATCTAACGACCCTTCACGAGCTTAGCTGAAAGAACTCTATTAAACAAACTCTATTAAACAAACAAACAAAAATAATAATAAGTAGAGTCAACAACCACTGGTCATTAATATCACTTGATATTAATGGACTCAATTCACCTATAAAAAGGCACAGACTAAGAGATTGGATACAAAAACAGGATCCAACATTCTGCTGTTTACAAGAAACACACCTCAACCACAAAGACAGACATCTACTCAGAGTAAAGGGCTGGGAAAGGTTTTCCAAGCAAACGGACCTAAGAAACAAGCAGGTGTGGCCATTCTACTATCTA